ACATTTCACCACTGACCAGTATTTATGTCCCAATCTGTGAGGCTGGCTTCATCATCTCCAGGCATTTCAGTGTTTCCTAAATTAACACTGGGTACAGCCCCATAATATCAAGTGTCTTTTAGTAAATCCTTTTGGGATGCACAGAGTTGGCCAAAGACTTAAGGAATGCACCCTCAGGTGTCACTGAGAAAGTAAATAATAAGCCTTTCAAAACAGCTATCCAAGGTTCTTGATGCTTAAAATCCTAAATGACTTTTCTTAAAAAAATTTAGTCTATTATTAGTTTGGGGAGAGATTCACTAATAGCGCAGGGGATCACAGTTCATAGTTCCAGGAAACTCACATATGCTTCCTGGGTTCTAGAGTCAAGAGGGGGTAGGTGTAAGTTGTCAGAGAACCCCAGACTGTGAGCTGTCTTCATCCTTCATTTCGCAGGTAATGAAAATTCACCTCGGAAAGGCTAGATTGGCCTGAAGTAACATTACAAGTGGCTGAGGCGGAATTGTAACTTCGAGTTTTTCCCCACTGCACAGAGAAAAAAAGTCAGTCAGGGTCTCCTTTCCACCAGCCTCCATCCAAGATTTCTGACCAGGCTCTCCTCTTCTCTTTCCCGCCTTATCCCATCTCCTCACCCTTTCAGATCGGATTGGAGAAGGGGGGTGAGAAATTTATCCTGGGCGACCCACGGGTCGTGGGCAAGAAAAGCCAGACCCTTTCACGTGGGTGAGCCTGTGACTCTGGGGGAGGTGGGCGCACTGCCCAGCTGGCGCCTAACCTCAAGATGGGGAGAGCGGCTGCAAGAGACCCCGGAGAGGAGGGGTGGGAGGGGACGCGCAGGGGCTTGAGAAAAGGTGTAGCTGCTGGAGAGAAATTAGAGACCGAGGCGCCTCTGGACGGTCCAGCTCTCAGAGCGGCGGGGAGGCCCTGTGCAAACTCCTCTCTCCAACTCGCATTCGGCCCTTTGTTGTCGGTCTCTGCCTCTGGCTCCGGCTCCGGCTCCGGCTCCTGCCCTCCGGTCCCCCGCCCTCCAGAAGTCACCCCAACTGCACTCATAATATTTTGCTTTTGCGCGGGGTCTGTTTTCCGCCACCAACTTCCAACAGTCTCCATGGCGACGCGCTGGGGAGGGGGCAGGCGCGGCTATGGAAATCCCAGGGCCTATCCCTCAGGGCGGCCCCTGCAAACTTTTCCGGGTCTCCGGGTCCTGCAGGCCGGGTGGGAAAGCGCACCGTCCTGGGCCGCCGCGCGGAGTTCCGTGCGGGGTTTCCCGGGCCGGATCTCCGCACCAGTGTCCGCGCTGACAAAGGCTGGAACCACCGGGCCTGGGGACCCCGGGACCACGAGGCTCTCACTTGACCTGCTACCCAATCCATACGCCGGCGCTTGGCAGGTGGAGAGGGTGGGGGCGCGCAAGCCTCTCTCGCCGGCCACACACACACACACGTGGAGGGAGAGACAGTCTGATTTGAACGCGGGGGTCAAAGCTCAGACCCCTGGCCCCTTGCTCTCTCGAGCCCGCAGACTAGGTCCCGGGGCGGGAGAAGGCGGCTCCTAGGGCCGCGCCTAGGAGAGGATGGAGGAGGCTCGGGCTCCGTTCCCACCCGGGTGATCTCTGCCTCCTAGGCCCCGCGCCTAGGCCACTGACTGTCCTCACCTGGGGGCCCACGGAGCCAGGTCGGGCCTTGTGCTGAGCCGGCACCTGTGAACCAGCGTGCCGTCCCGCCGTTGCGGCCCGAGGGGCTCAAATCCGGCTCCAGGGGGTACTCGCGCCGTTCCAGCTCTGTATTCTGAAGATGAGAGCAGTGAGTAGAGGTAGAAGTTTGAAGTGCGGGATCAGTTGTGCCCTCTCTAACGCGCCATCCCGTTTAATGAGAAACAACCCTTCTGTCGCGTAGGCGACCAACCTGGCCCCGGCCCACTCTGCAGAAGTTCTCAGTGGCCTAAAATTCTATCTACTTTTCCCTCTCGTTCTCGAATTTTCCGGTACCTTAAGTAACTGAGCAACGCTTGTCTGGGCAGCATAACCCGGATTGGACCCACACGTCACAAACACGGAGGCGCCGCAGACGGCCTGCGTGGGTAGGGTGGGCGGACACGCGAGGTTGTGCGCTCGTGTTTAGGCGGCGTGGTGCTGCGGCGCAGGCCAGCTGGGACTTGCGCCCGCCTCCCAGCTGCAAGGGGCGCACGGACGGACCGCGAGTCGAAGGCCCCACGCGAGCGCCTGCGGCCTGCGCTGCCTGCCCGAGTTCGGCCGCGCGGCCAGTCTCCCGGGAGAGGGACTCTGCTTTGTCACGCTCTGTCGCCAGCGAGCTGAAGACCCAGGAGGCGCGCGCCGGCTGCCGGGCCTCCCCCGACGGGGCCATTGTCTTGGCCCCACACTTGTTGAGTATTTTGGAAAAACTCGAGGAATATATTACCGGCTCCATACTCGGAACAAAGGGGCGCGTTTCCGCAGGTCACGCTGAAGTGGCCCCAAGGCAGACCACTAGAGCCCCGGCCCCTGCAAAACTGCTCTCTCGGGCCGAGGCACTTTGTGGGGATTTTCCTTTTAAGAGTAGGGGACGGGACGGAGGCCCCTGCTCGCCAGCCTCTCTGATCCTGGACGCTCCCGAGTTCGCCCCAGCACTTGCTGCGAATCGGTTGCTCGAGCCCTTTCGAAATGAAACAATAATAAATATATTCGTGGTTCTGGTCGCGCGCGATATGTTGTAAAAGAAGCAGAATCGAACTGCTCCATGGAGCGCCAGTCTCCGCAAGCCGGGCAGTAGGACCTTTACATAACAAGGGAGACTCACAAGAAAAGCTAATTGGATTAAGCTCGGGAAGGGAGGTGAGGGAAGGCGACCGGACCGGACCGCGCCAAGCCGCACTTCCTTGCAGGCCCGAGTGAAGTGTCACCTGTGCGCCGCATGTCATTTCTTCACACGCCTAGTTCCCAAAACTTTCAGTTTTGAGTTTAGGATGGCTATCTAGGGATGTTTCAGATTCTCGAAAGGAGGAGAGTGGATGGGGAAAAGATTTCGGTTTCAGAACCTATTTGGGGTGTTTGCAGTTGACGTAAAAGTGACCAGGTGCCCCCACGACCACGGCCTGCGCGGAGGACAGAAAATAGAACGTTTCACAGCCCCAAGAACGCACGGAAACGCTCCAGTCGTGTGGAAGGGAAGGCTAAACCCACCAACTGGGCCATGGCGGGTGTGGGGTGCAGAGAGACCCCAAGTCCCTGCGTGGGCCCCTTGCCAATACTTGGCCCCAAACAATGCAGACGTGGGGGTAATTTTGTTCAAAGATCTTAGCGTCTATAGTTGGGGTGCTCAGGTGGTGCGCAGAGGTGCAAGCACTTGACATAAAATATGCTGGGAGGGGCTCTTTTCCCTTTCTGGGTGCCTGCCTCGTACCCGCAGCAGGCGACACCTCTCCTTGCCTTCGTTTGTCATCGCGTATAGTAAGGAGGACTGCGGGGCTCAGCCTGCCCACAATCTCAGGGGGTCCACACCCACTCGGGGGAGCGCAATGGAAGAGGGACTTGGCTGTTGGAATCAGAGATGGACAACAACCCCGGAAAACCGAAGATCCCCCTGGCCAAAAGGGGTGGGTGTTCCCCATCGCAGAAGCCTGAAGGGGCTGGAAATCTGTCTACAGGGACAGAAGTAAGCCCATCTGGGGCGATGCCCGGATGACCTCCACCACCTCCCCACATCCATTTCCAGCCTGCTTTGGGGTGGAGGTGGGGAAACATGCGTGGTGTTTATTTGCTCAGGGAAGGGCCGTGCGTGTGTTGAGGGATGGCAGAGGCTGGAAGGCACTTGTTGCTCCGCGCTTCAAAGCCCAGACGCGGATGCGCCTAGGCACCCTCCCAAGCCTGGCGTCACGCTGCGGCCTCGGCCCAGGCTGCGCTCCTCGCCCTGCTTCTGCCTCTGCCCAACCTCATCTTCCCAAGAAACCCCGAAGCTGCAGCCGAGCCCGGAGAGGAGTGAACTGGTTGGGAGACTGCGGCCGGGAGAGGAGGTGACCTTCCAAAGAACTTCTTCCGGAGGGAGCATAACTCAGATCTATAGAAGTCTAGCGGTTCTTCAAAGGTGCTAGAAGTGGGAGGGAGCGAAGGCTCTATAGCAGGCTCCATGCTTTTTCGTTGTAAGAGATTCCTTGGCTTCCTGCCTCCGTTTTCACGGATCTCTGAGACCCCAAACCCCGACGACCACAGCCAACAGCCCCAAAAGTGCCGAGCAGTTTGTAGACCCCACCGCCAGGCCTCGCCGGCCGCACTGCGTCCCTCCTTCCCTCCAACAGAATTACAGCCCCGGAGCGGGGCGCGTCGTTGGGTGCCCCGCATGGAGGCGACACCCGGCATCGGACGTCCTGGGGCTCCCACCACCCGATGGCGCGCGGATTTCCTAGGACCACCGGGTTCGCCGCCGCCACTCCCTCTAGCTGCGCGTCTCCACCATCCTGAGCCGTTGTCCCCACCTCCTAGGCACTGTGGGAAGTCTTCGCCCTCCCTCGTCTGTGGGGAGTTCCGCTGGGCTTCCTGGCCTTCGCTACCAGCCCCAGAGCGCACCGCTATTCTGGGGCCACCAAACCTGGGGGAGGAGCCGCGCCCGGGAGGGCCAGTCGGCTCGCAGTTTCTGTAAGTGGCATTTCGAGCTCGCCGCGAGCCAGCGAATCTTTACGTAACTTTGTGTCCAGGGCAAGCGAAAGCGCGCTCCTCAGCGCGCGCGCGCGCACACACACACACACACACACACTTACACACACACGCTTACACACACACACACACACACTTACACACACACGCTTACACACACACACACACACACACTTCTACGCATCCACTTACGCACATCGCGCGGGACTGCAAACTTCTGCACACTCTCTGTTATTCCCTGGGGTTCCACTGTCAAATTGACCCTTTTGAACTTTTTGCAACTGTTTCTGAAGTTCCCCTTCTCCCTCTTCTTTCCCTCCCAATGTCTTCCCCAACCCCAGCCAGCAGGACTAACCTGTGGAATCCATGTCGGGTTCCTCCAGTAACCCACAATGCATGCTCTTCCCATGGACAGCACAGGCGCTCCCCAAAAGTCCTGATGTTTGGGGATCCCCTGTGCTAGAGACGCCCAGGGAGGAAGGGAGTGAGGAGAAGAGGAGAGACGCAGAGAGTGCAAGGGCAAAAGGATGAAAGAGGAAAGGAAAAGAAAGAAAGAGAAAGAAGAAAGAAAAGAGGAAGAGAAGGGAGAAAGCGGCGGAGAAGGGGGCGAGAGAAAGAGCGAGCGGGCGAGGGGACACTCAGTAATCCAGCCGGGCAAAGCCAAACCCGTCAAAATGTTTGCGGATGTTTCATGGGAAAAAGCATCATTTTATAGGAGCCCCGATGGGAGCAATGTCATTGATAGGCCAGCCGGCCTGATGAATGGCCGCTCGTCAGATGGGGCCGTGGCGAGGCGCACTGTGAAGCCCATTGTGGGCCTGTTTTGAATAAGAAAAGCCGCCTCCGAAAAGGGGGGCTCAGAGCGACGCAATCCCAGCCCTCCGACTTCCCCCTTCTATTATAGCATTAGCAACGTTTTTCTTATTTAAAGTTCCAGAGGCCTTCTCCAGCCTTCGCCCGGCACTCATTATAGGCGAAATCAAAATTGGCTTAGATGTGGCCCCCTCTCCCCTCCCCATCCCTCCCTGGACCGGGCCAGGCGAGGCGCAGGCGGGGTGGGTGGGGGGCGGCAGGGGACTCCGGGGAGCCTGGGGCGTCGCCTACGCCGCCACGAGTGGGCCCCACTCCTTTCCCTCTCTTCTTGTGCCCACCCCCATTGGGTTCCGGGTTGGACTTTGAGTGGGGGGGCCCTGGGAATGCGGGAGGAGGGATGGCTTGATCCCTTCCACGCGGATCCGCGGACACGCGTGGAGGAGAGCGCTGAGGCGGGCACAGGGGGAGGGGAACTGCAGCCCTAAGACCCCACCCCCAACCTGGGCGTGAGAAGGCTGCTTGGCAAGGAGGCTGTGAGTCCTTCAGAACTTTGTCTTCCTGTGGGTCTGTCTTCTTCACGGCGTCTTTCTCCTTTCCGTCTCCCCCTCCCCCCCTCCCCCCGTCTCTGTCTCTCACTCTGTCCTTCTCTCGTCCTCTGTGTCTCTGTTTCTCCTGTTTTGGCTGCCTGTCTTTCTGTCCAGCCCCTGCCCCCACGTCTCTTTGTCTCTCCCTGAGACTCGGCCCCTCTCTGTCTCTATCCCCCTTGGTCA